TCCCGGTGATCCCGGTGCCCGTCCCGGTGATCCCGGTGCCCGTCCCGGTGATCCCGGTGCCCATCCTGGTGATCCCGGTGCCCATCCCGGTGATCCCGGTGCCCGTCCCAGTGATCCCCGTGCCCCCGGCAGGGCTCGGAGCTGGCGGGATGGGCCATGGGCCGCTGGACCTACGAGGGCATCGACCTGAACCACAACTTTGCCGACCTGAACACGGCGCTGTGGGACGCCGAGGACAACGATCTGGTGCCCCATGAGTTCCCCAACCACTACATCCCCATCCCCGAGTACTACACCTTYGCCAACGCCACGGTGAGGCCCCAAAACCCCCTTGAAGCACCCTTTAAATCTCCCCCAAATCATTCCCTAAACCCTCMCCAAATCCCCTCGAAACCCCCCAAAAACGCCCCCATTCTCCTGCACCATCACCAGTGAATCCCCCAAAATCCTTCATGTGAATGCTGTGGCGAGCCACTCAAAACCCTTTAAAATCCCCTAAAACCCCCTTGAGATCTCCCCCAAACTCCCCTCAAACCCTCCTCAGAATAACCCCCAAACCCCCTTGAAACGCCCCAAAACCCTTCCATCCTCCTCTTACCAGCATCGTAGTGAATCCCCCAAATCCCTTGTGCCAAATCTGTGGTGAGACCCCCAAAACCCCCCTGAAACCCCTTTGAAACTCCCCTAAAACTTCTTTAAAACTCTCCCAAAACCCCAATGAAACCCCCTCAAAACCCCTCTGTCTTCCTGCATCATCACCACAGTGCCAGTTCTGTGGTGAGATCCCCAAAACTCCCTTAAAACCCCTCAAAATCCGCTTGAAACCTCCTCCTTGAAACCTCCCTCAAACCCTCCTCAAAACGCCCCCAAAACCCGAATGAAACGCCCCAAAACCTCTTCATCTTCGTGCATCATCTCCACAGCGAATCTGCCAAAATCCCTCGTGCCAATTCTATGGCGAGACCCCCAAAATCCGCTTAAAACCCCCCAAAAATCCCTTTGAAATCCCCAAAATCCTCCCGAAACTCCCGCCCGAGCGCTCAACTCCGCGAAGCCACGCCCCTCTTTGAGGCCACGCCCCTCCACTGAGTCAATGATGCTACCACAAGCCCCGCCCATTCCCTGCTGACCAATAGCAGCTCAGATGAGAGCCACACCCCCATCAGACCACGCCCACCCCGTTCCCACGCGTGGCCGCATCGGGACTGACCGTCCCCACCCCGGGGGTGTCACCGCGAGTGACACCGGGATGTCACCGCGGGTGACACGGGGACCCGCAGGTGGCCCCGGAGACGCGGGCGGTGATCGCGTGGATGCAGCGCTACCCGTTCGTGCTGAGCGCCAACCTGCACGGCGGCGAGCTGGTGGTCACCTACCCGTTCGACATGACCCGCACCTACTGGAAGGCGCAGGAGCTGACCCCAACGCCGGACGACGGCGTGTTCCGCTGGCTGGCCACCGTCTACGCCACCGCCAACCTGGCCATGGCCAGCGGAGAGCGCCGCCGCTGCCACTACGACGACTTCACCCGCGTGGGCAATGTCATCAACGGGGCCAACTGGCACACGGTGCCCGGCAGTGAGTGCGGGGACCCCGCGCCGCCTCCCGCCGCCCTTTGTCACCCTCTGCCACCYCCCTGTCCCGCGCAGGTATGAACGACTTCAGCTACCTGCACACCAACTGCTTCGAGATCACCGTGGAGCTGTCCTGCGACAAATTCCCGCACGCCTCCGAGCTGCCCGAGGAGTGGGAGAACAACCGGGAGTCGCTGCTGCTCTTCATGGAGCAGGTCGGGCACGGTGGCACCCGGGGGATTGGGGTTTTGGCAAGGGGGACGTGGCTCAAGGRTGGCCAAAGCCACCTGAGGTCCGTCTGTTTGGAGGGTCCAGAGAGTGATGGGAATGGGGGGCGCTGGAAGGGTCTGGGGGTGCTGGGGTCGTGGGGACACTGGGGASGGWCCAGWGTGGGAGGTCTGGAGGTACTGGGATCATGGGGACACTGGGGAATGGGAGTCTGGGGTGTGGGATTTGGGAGTATTTGGGCCATGAAGGCACTGGGAGTGTCTAGGGGTGCTGGGACCATGGGGACGCTGGGAAAGGGGGGTCCAGATGGTTCTGGGACACTGGGGACACTGGGGGTGTCTGGGGATTCTTGGGATCATGGGGACACTGGGGAAGGGGGTCCAGGGTGGAGGGTCCGGGTGGCTCTGGGACCATGGGGACACTGGAAAAGTGGGTTCCAGATGGTTCTGGGACATGGGGACACTGGGTTATGGGCAGGGACAAGGAACCCCCCGGGGTTCTCTGTGAACACTGGGGAGGGGACACACAATGGGAAGKTCCCGGGGGGCAATTTGGACACAACAGGGTTGGAGATTCAGCAGGATGGCAGCAGGACATGGCTCGGGGGTCCCCAAACACTGAGGGTGGCACTGGGAGGGGACACACCTCTGCCACCTGCCCGACCCACCCGGGACCCCCCGGCTCCAGGTGCACCGCGGGATTAAAGGGGTGGTTCGGGACAGTGACACCGAGCAGGGCATCCCCAACGCCATCATCTCCGTGGATGGCATCAACCATGACGTCCGGACCGGTACGGGGGCATTGGGATGGGGTGTGGGATGGAAATAGGATCAGGCTGGGAATGAAGATGGGAWTGGGACAGKAATGGGTTTGGGGATGGGAATGGGGTGAGGTTGGGAACGGGGATAGGACTGGACACGGGAATAGGATGGGGATGAGGAGGGGAATTGGATTCAGGGATGGGATTAAGGATTGCAGATGGGGGTGGAAATAGGATTAGAGTGGGAAAGGGGCTGGGAATAGTAATGGGATGAGTTTGGGAATAGGGTTGGTACAGGAATGGATGACATTGGGGATGGGAATGGGGCTGGGGATGAGGCCAA